AATTTAGAGCTTTCGACTCGTTTATTTCACATTACATAAGACCTCAAATTGTAGTACAGGGCATGAAATCGTTTATGTGGACTTGGAAGTTACATGAAAATCCCTATAAAACTATCATTTCACTTTTACATCTTTAAAAACAAATATGCAGTTTATTAACATGTTCAAACTAACATTTTGCAATAATGCATCTTGAAACTAACATGTTGGAATGTCCAAAGTATAAAAACGGAACAGCGCAAATTTAGTCAAAGGCGTACTAACCTAATCCAATAGCATCAGACCCTTTCATAATTTTGAGCCTCTTGCATGAAGCGATGAACATCCTGAAACAACAATGGTTATTGGTAACATAGTATCAACAAAACAAATTTTGGACAAAAAGCAAAACATTCTAGTCGCCATGTAAATAAAGTATCTTGCGTTCAAATTCTCATGCTCATTAAAAGTTCAATGACATTATAGTAATTTATTAGCAGATGGAGAGGAAATTCAGAAATTGAATTCGAGCCTGAAACTCTTATTATAGTAAGCCTCATGGTAATACGACAATGCATAGGGTGAATATAACAAATGAAGTTCCTTCTTGAACAATCGTTTCATCAAATAATTAAAAAGTTACACCCTAAATATCACTAAAATACTCCTCAGATGACCTGATGTTCTGACAACAAATTGACATTATTATATGACTTAATCTTCACCCAATTATGCAAAGGTGCTTTTACTTATTACTTTAATTTGGCCAAAATGTCAACAAAAGAACTAGCTTTGACCATTTCACATACAATTACAAACACTTTGTAATTTCCGACGAGACCCTTTCAATACAACAATGACAATCTAGATTATCACTACCATTTGCAAACTTAACAAAAAGGGTGTTTGAGATGACCTGTAAGGTCCTAAAAGCTCTCATGTCTTACGGTTCTCTCAAAACGTATAAGATCCCAATATTTAATGTTCTTGGACTGAGAAGAGGTTTGAATAGGTTTCATCCACAAAAGCTACGATAACCTGTAATTACTCAATGTGGGACAAGCTTAACTAACAAAATCCGCCTTCACACTTAGCTCATCAATCCAAATAGGTTGAGTCTGAACCCAACATTCCTCCAAACAATCATAGGCTATCTAATAGTCTAATTACTAATATAATACAATAATAAATGGACTTGAGTAAAACTCATCCCTAAAGTTAGTTCAACTCTAGAGAGCGACCATCCCACACGTACACACAATGGCATTCTAGTAACTAATAGTCTTGTTGATAGATGTAAGAAAAAAGAAACACAACTTGTATTCCCACAACATGCATAGAATAGATGGAGTTTGTGATATTTGCAATATCACTACTGATTTTAATCTTCATTATTAACAAGAAATGGCAAATGCACAACTACTTCCAAATTTAATTTACTTTTGTTCTATGTGTTATTAGTGATCAAATCATACGAACTACTTTTATATGCTCATGTGGTAAATAAGTACATGATTATACCATGAATATTCCTAGCATGACCATTTTCTTTATCCCTAAATTCTACAAGTAACTCTATTGTATGTATATGCAATATATTCTCATTTTTCACTTACCAACTCAATTGGGTAATAAAAGCATCTCAATATCACAGGCCCTCAAATCTCAAACTTTGAAGACCCTAAAGACGAAAAGGTTAACACAGTATAATTGCATTTTGCTCCAACCGTTAAGCCTTATGATTATAAGATTCATTCGATCAATTTTCTGTAAAGACTGATTAAATCATACTTTTTTCCAATTTATATTTTTTATGCATAAAAAGTTGCAAATTATTTGTCCATAAAACTAATTATTCGTACATACTATTTATATGATAAATAATATAATTAATAGTTATTCTATCTCACATTTCATGTTAATGCATTAGATTGGCAGGGTGCAAATGCATTATATGCGACTTCATAATGGCAGACCCCATCAATAATGTTGAAATGAATTTGAAAATCTTAAGAAAACACAAATTCTTAATGAGACGCTCTAACAATTAAGCAGGTCAGCTAATAATATGAGATGTCATATTTTTATTTGTATTATTTATTATTTTAATATGATATCTTTAGTTTTGAAAATATGGACAAACAATATGATTGTGTGATCATAGCCTTACTGTTTATAAAGTGAATACTATTTTTAGACCTTTAGAGAGGGAATCTCAAATTAGATATAAAGCTAATACCTATATAAGAAGCGAGTTTTAAAGTCTCAAATATCAAACTTAGCTTCCATGCAATTAAGTACCTAGGAAAACTTAGCATCCACAGTTTACTCGTGCATATTCCGAATAACATTAAAAGTACCTAGGAAAAACAAAAAAGGAAATCACTTACTCCCAGGGAACATCTCCAACAAGCATCCAGTCCCCATCCTTATCCTCGTACGTCAGTACATACTCCGACCCATGAATAAGATCCCTCAGTTTGCTCTCGCTCATCATTTCCTTATTCGGACTCCCCTGGGGCCCACATTGTCCTAAACACAGCTGCACTGTCATCACAAAATTCCCCATATACAACAAAACCCACACTTAACTGAAAATTACCTATGGTGAAACAGCTGAACATCTTTTCAAGAGCCGATGAGAGCTCCTGGTAAGTGGCATACGACCTCAGGTCCACCTTCCTAAGATAGGGTGCACCATCCATGCTCACCTTCACAAAAAGCGCGCCTTTTCCATCAACCTCTTCATTGTTTTTAGAAGTTGTAGCAAGTGTATTCTTCCGGAAAGATCTAATCGGAGGCCATCCCACCACCTGCGCCCTGCAAAAACCAACACAAAGAAAAAGGCCACAGGCAGTAAGAGCAATAAATTTAGCAACCGGCAGATATCCAAACATATAGTTATTTTGCAGAAATTACTTAGCGGCTGGTGCATTGATGGTGTTACAACTGTTCATCTTGTTTTTGCATTCTTGAGGTTCCTTCTCTGCTGCTGCTTCTTTCCTAGCAGCTGTCTTAGGTTGTCCAGAGTCCGCGTTGAACATCCAATTGGGCTTGGAAAACATGGCATTCTCAGTGTCTGAAAATCCCCTCTTATTTCCAGTCACGATAACCGTCTTGGAAGGAGCCAAAGGGAATAACTGCTTCTCGTCAAGATTCTTGACCGAGCTCGGAGGGGAAAAGTCCAAGCTTCGCTCGGGGGACTGAGACCCCGGAAGGCCAAGCCTCAGTTCTGTGGCCTTGAAGTTAAGATTGGCCTTTCCTTCGCTAAAGACGGTTGAGCTGTCAACCGACGAGGAGTCAGACAGTCCTAGGTAGTTGCGCTCTTTGAAGGCAAGGGTGTTTTGCGTAATGCAGTCAGCGGACGATGAGGAAGCCATCATAGGTGGTGTTGCATTGAACTGGCTTTGCCCCTCGATTGCCGATAACGGTGGTGTCATCAAGGTCGATATTCACTAAGTGTTGTGAAAAATCTACAAAGTGAAAAAGAAAACAGTATCCAAGATCAATTCTTAGCTGCAATAGTTGATATTATTATCATGATACAAATAGTTGTCTTGAGTACATCCATGTATAGTGTGCTGCTTGTGTGAAGCTCTTATTCTGAGAGTAGCTTATGCTAAATCACATGTAAGATCAAACATAAATGACAAGCCTGTTAGATCTGGGCTAAACTATATAAAATTCTTCACTAAAAAGCAAGGATCAATTTTAATCCACAGAATGAGAAAAGTAAAAGTAAAGTACAGAAATTTCTTTAGATAAATAAAGAAATTAAGAAAAAAATCAATTGAAAAAGAAGGACAAAAAACCCATTTTTTGCAAATGAAAAAAAAAAATAGAAAAAAAACCATACACATCACTATACAAAGCAGGAAGGCAAAAAACTAAGTAGCAAGAGACCCATTTTTTTTTGGGAAATACTATAGTCCCGTTACGGAACCATTCCGTTAGGAATTTGAAACCATTAGATCATCATGTAACCGTCATGAATAGTTGATCTAATGGTTACAAACCCCGACGAAATGGTTCCGTAACAGACCGTAGAATCTCCCCATTTTTTTTTACATTAATATCAGAAGTAAGTTTCAACGGTTTGCATGGGGAAATTGACAAATAACACAAAAGCACAAACAAGTTCACCTTAATTTTTACAAGGGATTGTCAAAAACAAGATCCAGCTAGAAGCAAACGATTCAAGCTTAAAACAACGTTAGAAAACAAACAAGTAAAAAATGCAAGAAAAAAAAGAAAGAAAGAAGAAGGAAATTACGAGATCTAACTACCATTACAAAGAAAAGTCGAGCTCAAAAGCACAAAATTAATTCACGAAAAATAAGAGACGAAAAAATCAACAGAGAGGACAACATTAAAATCCACAAAAACATATAATACCTGAAGGTCAACTATCAACGGCAGCTGCAAAAGAAGAGAGAGAGCTTGTGGTGGGGAAGATGAGTTGCAGGAATCTTGAGTACAAACTGCAGGAAAAAGGACCCAAGCGCAAAGGAGAGAGAGAGAGAGAAACTCGAAGCTTGGACGAGTGAAAAAAAATAATTAATAAAATGATGAAGGAGGGGCAAAAGGGTAATTAGGCTGAAGAAAGATTTTAGTTTCTCCGAGGATCCACATCGACGGATGAGATTGTTTGGTGTTTGGTCCAACCCGATCGCGGCCGTTGATGCGCGGCAGAGAGAAAATAATTACCTGTCGCCCCCTGCACAGGCTGGTAAATGATGACAGCCAAATCAATTATGCTTTTTTACAGTTTCGTGAAGGAATGCGTTGGGAAAAATTTCTGGTAGAGCTGAAATGACGAGTGTACCCCTGAAAATATTTGCGCTGACAAATCCGCCCTTGTTCTATTTGACATTTTTTTTTTTTGAGTGTTTTTTGTTTAAAGGAAAAATTGTAAAGAAGTCGAGTGAAACTAAAGTTTGACCATATAAGGGTCCATCCTAGTTCTTTTATCAATCTTAGTAAGTTGAATTATAAAAAAAAGTATATAAAAAAAGTTTTTTCTCAAGACTTAATAAATCGAGCTCACAAGCAGCTTATTTCATTTAACAACTTTAACTAAACCGAATTGAGGCAAACTTGTTAACTAGTCAAGTTAATAAACGAGCTCAAAAGCAGAAGTTGAATCTAAGTGTTGACGAACCGAGTTAAGTTATAATAAAAAAAATCACATAAATTTACTTTTTTTTCAAACATAAAAATTTAACTATTCAAGGCGGACACAAATCTTCACGTTCCGAGGCCAACACATAAGTGGCTCGATTTAATTTTTCACCTCATGGAACTTTAATTTTTAGTTGGATTGGGAAATTGATTCTTTCATACTGGAGCGAAAAATTCCTTCTTTGCGGAGGGTCGATTGTCTTCAGCGAAGAATCTCAATTCCTTCGTGGTGAAGGTTCGATATTGTAGTGCGTGTTTTGTCGTTTTTCTCTTTATCATATACGCTCGACCTCTGCAAATTCTGCTCGATTTTTACAGGTAGCAATGTTTTCATGTCATATGTCAAACTAAATGGGGTTTCTTCGGTGGTCGACCTTGGAGTTGTCCTATACGCCCAATGAACATACGTTAGCTCATCGACCCATGCTCCTGAGGCTTTTTCTAATTTAGTCTTCAAGTCGTTTAGTATGATCCTATTTGTGACTTTGACTTGAACGTTGGTCTGCGGATGAGCAATTGATGCAATATGCTGGTCAATTTTCATGTCTTCGCACCAGGTTCTAATCTTTTTTCCCTCAAATTGTGTACCATTGTCCAATATCAAAACTTTGGGTACTCCAAACTGACAACAAATATTATTATAGAGAAAATGGTTGACCTTGTTTTTCGTCACTTTTGCCAACGGATCGGTCTTGACCCACTTAGTAAAGTAGTCCACAACAACAATCAAGAATTTTCTCTGACCAGACTTCTGCGGTATAGGTCCTACAAGGTCAATGTCCCGTTGAGCGAACGAAATAGAAGCACTCATCATGGTCATCGTTTCAGCAGGCTGATGAAGAAGGGAACTATGTTTCTGGCACTGTAAGTAATTTTTTACCATTGTCACTGCATCAGCTCGCATTGTCGGCCAAAAGTAACCATCTCTCAGAATCTTTGCTATTAGTGACCCCACTTTTTTGTGGTCACTACATCACCCTTGGTGCACCTCCGTTTAGCACATACTTGCCATCTTCTTGTTACGCACCTCAAGTGGGGACATGAGTACGCCCTTTTGTACAGGACCCTGCTCAAAAACCATCTTAACATACTTCAAGTTCCTTTCATTTAACTCTCGCAGGATTGGAGTTCTCCAATCTTCTACCTCCTCGATTTTGGCCACCTCTTCAACACTCTTTTCCATGTGTAGCGGAGTAACAATTCTACTTTTGTAGTCTACCTCTCCCCTCCCCCCCCTCCCCCCCGGCTGCCTCCTTGGAGTTGAATCAACTCAAATGAGTTGAATTCCTTCTGCAATGCCTTGACCTCATTGACGTAGCTTTGGAATCTCTATTTCTTGACCTCGAATCCACCCTCAAGCTGCTCTACGACCAGTTGAGAATCTGAGTTGTACTTGAATCTCTCGAGCGTCTCTAACAACGGCTAACTGCACATCCTTTAATAGAGCGTCGTACTTCGCGTCGTTATTCCACACATTAAATCCAAACTTAGCCTCAAATGCAAGTCCCAAAGACGGTGCCAAATGGTGTAGAGAGACCTTCGACCGGCTAGATTTGAGTAAATTTACCTCCTCGTCGTTGGACGCTCTTAAAGACATGTATAAACACATCGTCGGTGGTGGTCTTCGTCGTAGAGCCTCCGATGTCTAAGTCAGAATGAGAGGAAGTGCAGGGAAGAAGATAATGAACAATATATATTCAGAAGTGAGAGAGTCTAGAGAGAGAATCGATATACCACATCCCCTTATTAGGGGTATGGTATCTTGTTCCCCAAGCTTGCCCAAAAAGTTAACTTGGTTGCCCAGGCTGCCTGTCTGTACAACCTGTACTGCCCTAGACGCCAGACTTGTCAGGTGGTCAGACAGACCAATCTTGTTGTGACACATGGTCCAATTCCCGAGCAATACTACTTCCAAGTTAGATGCCTTTTTGTCCATCTGTCTACTTTATCAAACAGTATAACATGAGACCAACTCTACATCATCAGGTAAAACACCTTCTCTACATGACTGATCAATCATTAAGTACAGAGGTCGATGATTCGACCAAACCCTCGACAGGTCGAGATTTCATCAAGCCGCCCGAGGGGCCTAGCTCGACCTGTACACGGTACCTTCATTGTGTTTATTTGTTGACCTGAATGCTCTTTGTTCGACCTCAAGCGCTTCATACAATCTATCGCTTTACCCGGTCTAGTTGGTCGATTTCTCGGTTTAGCTGACCCGGAATGATATATTATATGTGAAATTTTTTTTGTCACTCTATATATTGACTTTGTTTGGTAATCAGTGGTTAGCTAATAGCTATTAGCGTATTGCATTAGCTCCTTTATCATCGGATTGTGTTAGTTTTGACCAATTAATTTTGTTAGTGGTTTGTAAAATAGTGTTTGGTAAAATTAGTTATTTTAATTAGTTGTCAACATGTGATATTACTTATAATGACATCAACATACTTTATCATTCATATTTATGTTAAATTTATAACTACTTATGAAAATAGTATAATTAATATTTTATATATTTATTATCTTGAAAATTATTTTTATGTACATATTTATAGTGCAATACACAAATATTTATGTATCATTTATATTAACAACAAATAAATATGATATTGAATATATTAAATATTATGCTTTCATATGTATAATAATTAATTTCAACACTATATAGAATATAAGTTAAACACTGAAACAGTGGATAAATTATTTTTAAATAAAAATTTGATGTTTTAATTTTAATTTTTATTTTTAATAAATCTATGAGACTTGTCTTCTTACGGTTCTCATACCAGACTTAGTTTTTATTTGAATCAGCTCATATATATATATATATATATATATATATATGAGAACCATATTTGATGTGAGAACCATATTTGATGCTATTTTTAATTGTGGATGATGCTATTTTTAATATTGCATGGTGCTATCATTTTTGCAAATGCTAATAAAAAATTTTATTGCTATTTTTAATAAAATAAAAGTAGCACTAAAACACAATAATCATAACACTACTTACAAATAAAAATAGCAGTTCTCACGGTTCTCACACTAGGACTTGGTTCTCATTTGAACCACATCATATATATATATAATGAAACATAGACTATGTTTGGTAAAACTAGCTGATAAGCTACATTATAGCTTATCAGTAATTTCGAGCTTATAACTTATAGTGTATGAATTATAGCTGAAAAACTAGTTTATATGATAAAAGGGTTTGATAAAATTAATTGAAGCTAGCTGAAATAATAAT